TTCGTTGATTTTGCTTTATGGGCGGATGCAGAGTCTTGCTGAAAGATCCATGCGGCACCTTTGAAGCTTCCGAGCACAAGGGAGTACCACAGCTTCCAAAATGTCCCTTTGATACACTTCTTTGTTGATCTTCACGCGTTCATCGACAAAAATCAAAGAAATCTTGCCTGAAGCACAGATACCGGCCCAAACCATAATGCCCCGAGGTGATGGCGACCTGCCACGATGGATTCAGCTTTAGGAGGCTCTGTTGAGTATAATTTGTCATTTTGGGGGTATGTAGGCCTCTGTAAAATGTAAATATCCTCTCATCAGTGAAAATGATTTGTTCCCAATTTTGACCAGCGGCCCGCTACTGAAGCAGTTTACATCTTTCGAAACGTACCGCCTTGTTTTCTTCAGTTAGCTTCTGAACTTTTTTGAGTTCGTACGGCTTCATCTTAATTTTCTTTTACACTATGCGCCTCAAAGTAAATTCTTTGATTCCCGCCTCCCGGGCCATTTTTTGTACTGGGGTCCGTAGATTTCGCTTGAAGCACTTCAGAATCACCTGACAATTGGCCACGGTGTTAACAAATGCTGGACGACCACTTCTAGGTCTGTCACAATCATGTCTAAGGTCTTCGAAACGTTTTACGGCTCTGTGGACTGTCATTCTTAAAATATTCAACAATTTCGCGATTTTGGGGTTACTTTTTCCTTCATTATTTAATTTGATGACGGCAGCCCTTATGTTTGACATGTAAAAACAGACAGACAGTAGACAATGAAGACTTAACTTTTATGGTTATACAATTAAAAACACACGAAGAATAAGCTAAAATAAAAAATTTTAAATAATTTAACCGAAACCTTGAGAAAACGACCGGTAAAGTTTTGTAACAGATCATTGGGCGCACCCTGAGATGGCCCGCACTCGTACACGTGATAAACCGAACGGTTATGCAAATTGGCGCTCTCTCTCTTCCTCGGACGAAACGCACGCGTGGCAATCAGTCAATTGGAACGCTCGCCTCCTGACCAGTCGGTCTTATTATCCGCTCCTCGATTGAGATCAACGTTGTTATTATTGGCCGTTTAATAAATATTGTAATATATTATATTACTCGGAGTATTTGGCTCAACTCCCTGTATTTTGACGTTTTTTGTTAAAAACAGCTATTTCTTGTTAAAACCTATTTAGAAACAATTTGATTACGTTACGTTAATTGACAGGTGTAATCTAAATAAGTATGTTGCTTTAGCTTCAAGTGCGTTATGCTTTGATATAAAAATTTACTTTGACAATGGTTATGACAGAAGCTAATACTGATAGTTCTAAAACTTTATTTGATATAGCTTTTCTTGTTACTGGGCTTTTCTCATCAGGCTTAGGTGTTTTTACTATAGTAATTATTGTAACACAATCTCCAAAGAGTATGAGCACGTACAAACGGTTTATTATCAACTTTACTGTAAGTTTTTAAGTAGAAATCATTACTTTTCAAATAAAAATTACTACGTTATGAAGTCATAGTATTGAAAAACACAAGCTATGTTGGGGTTTTAAAGTTACTTGTAAAGGTTTAAAACTTTTATTTTCTTAGGTTTTTGACATATTGTTTTCATTTACAATGGGAGTGTTGGTCAAACCTGACCCAATTTTTCCTTTTCCTGGTGCTTGTATTGAAGGTTTATTTAAATACCTTGGTGAAAATGCTGCGCCGTTAGCTGTAAGTAAGCAAAATGGTAGTTTTAAAATTTGAATTTTTTTTAAAATTTACAATTGATTAAAAAAGATTTTTTGCTTACGATGAAGGTGCTCACCCTGCTCCGCTCTGAAGGTTAGCGCAAGGTATAATTGCCTTCTACTTTTTTATAAAGAAAGATCATATAAATATAAGATGTTCAGAATGACATTTTGAATTTCCCTTCAAATTGGCATTATGTTTCATGCTTATAACTTCGTCATTTTTTGACTTTTTAGGAATTTTTTCTTTAATCTAGAGATGGAAAACCTTTAAAAAAGACCTACATTATTAATTTTGTAAGCGTAGCTTGTCTGGAAAGTCGAAAGAAAGTGCCTGAAACACAATGTCAAGTTTATCTGGCCGGAAATTGAAATTTCTTAAGTTTGAAGTTCAAAAGCGCAAGCTAAAATTTTTTATATGTACTATTAGTGGTACAAAAAACTCATACAAAGATTTTGGGCTGAATCTGAGAGGGGCGGGTTGAGTACTTTGTTTGCTAAAAATTTATTTGTGATTAGTATTATATTTAACTACCTTACGTCTCACTAATTATGCTTGACTCTAGAACGTCTTAATAGTAAACACGGCAGGTTATGCTTTGTCAACACAATGTTTGTGCATTTGGTATAGGTTTGCTGTGTTGCTTGATAATCCACGGTTTATGGAGCTGATCAATTCAACGACATACTGGTTTTCTGCTTACTTCGTTTCATTGTTATTTACTGCGTTCACTATTTATGTGTTTTACAACCTTCAGGCTCCACAAAATGTACGGTAAAGAGTCCTAGCCCAGAGTCCTAGCTCAGAGCCCTAGCCCAGAGACCTAGCCCAGAGCCCTAGCCCAGAGCCCTAGCCCAGAGCCCTAGCCCAGAGCCCTAGCCCAGAGCCCTAGCCCAGAGCCCTAGCCATAGTCTATACATGACTTTTTGATCTTTACTGTATATATTTCATAATAAAGAAAAAGTAAAATCTTGCAGACCATTCCATCAAAAATAGCAGCGTTATCATCTAAATATCCCGAAGCAACAATACCTCAATTCCAAGGCAAAATTTACATGTATGTTGACTACGACAGTAACTTCACTGTATACGCTGGAGTCTTTGTTTTTATAGGCTTCTTCTCGGCTGAGCTGTGTTTAATTGTTACCGTATATCTAATTTTAAAGAAACTAGAAGCCAAGAAGGCCAGTTTCTCAAAATCAACCTACAAACTTCATCGTCAACTTACTGTAGCTTTGGGCGTTCAGCTAGCCACTCCTTTGCTTTTTATAATACTACCAGTAACCTACGGTATAATAGCTACGTATTTCATGTGGAACACTTATGTTAACATTGGCAGAGCTTCAATGTTGTATATTGACCTTTATGCTGCTTCCAATTCTGTAGTTACTATTTACTTTGTCAAGCCATATCGAGTTTATACATATACTGTGATGAAGACTGTTGTTAATAGAGTAACTTGTGGTAAATTTGGGAATGAGAAGAACATTGGTTCAGTTATTGTTATGGAGAGTACTGGTAGTGGTAACAGTTAACTATACAATACCTTTGTTATTTTTTCAAAATTTATTTTAATCTTACGATAATAAAGGTCATTTTCGCTTGATATTGTAGTAAATTTGCCAAAAAAAATTCAATTTACTAATTCAAGATACGAAGTAATGGAACATATTTTACCACCTTTTCACAGGTGCAAATTTAAAATCTGTCGAATTTCAATAATAGTTTGCTTTTTAAAATATACGTATTACAGCGCTAATGATAGATGATAAACTGCTTTATCACATTACCTTCTCCATTGTAGGCTTATTTTCGTCTGGACTAGGAATACTGGTCATTTATATTGTACTAACTAAATCTCCTGATAATATGAAAACTTACAAACGATTCATTATTAATTTTACGGTAAGTAGGGATGTAAAAGGTCGGGCCGGGTGTGATTTCTTGGTCTTGGTTTAAGCTTCGGCCTTCGAATTCACATTTTTTTTGTTGCGGGACCTACGACGGGCTTTTAGAGCGTTGGTTTAGGCCCAGCCTTTGGGCGCAGGCAGTCCCGGCTCATTTTAAAGTTGCAAATTTGCATCAGTCGGTGCTAATCTGAGCTCGGAGCTCGTGTCGGGCCTTGTAAGCTTAGTTTCTGTTCTAACGGTAAGGGATTGATAAATGATAATATTAAATATGTATTTGACTTTAAAATTTTTAAAATTTTTCAGATTTTCGATGTGTTGTTTTCTTTTGTAATGGGTATTGTGGTCAAACCAGACCCAATCTTTCCTTTTCCTGGTGCCAGTATTGACGGTTTATTGAAATACCTTGGCGAACAAGGTGCACCGTTATCGGTAAAGTGGATTTAAACTTTGTTTGTTGTGAAGGAGTTTTGTTATACAAGAGTTTTAAATACACGTTGCTTGAATATGTAAAGTAAAAGTGTTAGTTAAGGACCTAAACTTAAAAAAAAATTTTTTTAAATGTACTTATTCTATTAGGTTGTTTACTTAATTCTGCGTTCCTTCTTAAAGCAAATTTGTGTGGTACGCGGCGCAGAATTATGTGAACAACCTAATAAATAGTTGTGCCTTTAGGACATAGCAATAGTGAATTCAGCTGGCTATGCCATATCAACCCAATGTGTTTGTATCATGTATAGGTTTGCGGTACTACAAGATGATCCTCGTTACCTTGAGTTTTTACTCTCTGGCCAATTTTGGTTTTGGGGCTATTTTATATCATTTCTTTTTACTGGTTTTACAGTATACGTTTTCTACCGGGTTCAGGCTCCACAGAGCGTAAGATTTTAAAATTTTATTAGGTGCCGACATAAGGAACTCGCTATTTATACAGGAAATTACAGGAAAAATATGGCAGGTTCTTAATGTCGGCACCTGATAATTTCTATTAACAATTTTTTTTGAAATTTTGAAGTTTGATAAAGCTTTTTAGACAATACCATCAAAAGTAGCTGAACTATCCTTTATATACCCAGATGCATCTTTGCCTGATTTTGAAGGAAAAATATTCATTTACATGGATTACAATAGTGAATATTCACTATACGCTGGTGCCTTTGTTTTCATTGGGTTTATTGTGGCTGAGTTCTTATCAATTACTTCAGTTTATCTCATTTTGAAAAAATTAGAAGCCAAAAAGGCTAGTTTTTCTAAATCTACCTATAGACTTCATCGACAACTTACTATCGCCTTGGGGGTTCAGGTAAGAGAAAAGTTGTTTTATTAGTACGTCTTAGTCACGATTTTTATTTTGACCTTGGTCTTAAATCTGGACTTGGATTTGGACCTGGACCTGGACCCGGAATGTACCTGTACCTGGACCTGGACCTGGACCTGGAAATGGACCTGGACCTGGACCTGGACCTGGACCTGGACCTGGACCTGAACCTAAACCTGGACCTAAACCTGGACCTGGACCTGGACCTGGACCTGGAAATGGACCTGGACCTGGACCTGGACCTGAACCTGGACTTGGACCTGGACCTGGACCTGGACCTGGACCTGGACCTGGACCTGGACCTGGACCTGGACCTGAACCTGAACCTAAGCCTGGACCTAAACCTGGACCTGGACCTGGACCCGGACCTGTACCTGTACCTGGACCTGGACCTGGACCTGGAAATGGACTTGGACCTGGACTTGAACCTAAGCCTGGACCTAAACCTGGACCTGGACCTGGACCCGGACCTGTACCTGTACCTGGACCTGGACCTGGAAATGGACCTGGACCTGGACCTGGACCTGGACCTGGACCTGGACCTGGACCTGGACCTGAACCTAAACCTGGATCTAAACTTGGACCTAAACCTGGACCTGGACCTGGATCTGGTCTTGGTCTTGGCCTTGGTTTTGGTTTTGGACCTGGTCCTGGTCCTGGTCCTGGTCCTGGCCCTGGTCTTGGTCCTGGTCCTGGTCCTGGTCCTGGTCCTGGTCCTGGTCCTGGTTCTGGTCCTGGTCCTGGTCTTGGTCCTGGTCCTGGTCCTGGTCCTGGTCCTGATCCTGGTCCTGGTCCTGGTCCTGGTCCTGGTCCTGGTGTTGGTCTTGGTGTTGGTCCTGACCAGCCTTAGAGTTAGCCTAAGCTTAGCCCCTATTGTCTTAATTTTAACTTTAAATCTTTTTTTCTAGTTATCCACGCCATTTCTTTTCGTAATAGCGCCAGTGTCATATGGTATCTTAGCTACATATTTTGGCCATCGTACTTATGTTAGTATTGGTCGTTTAGCCATGATGTATATTGATCTTTATGGTGCTTCAAACTCTATTATAACACTTTATTTTGTCAAACCATATCGACTTTATCTTGTTGGACAAGTCAAAAGATGTATATTGGTCATAACTTGTAGAAAATATGGAAAAGCAGAGGAAGTTGTGGTACTTGTCATGCCTGAAAGTACTATCAATTCTGGATTGGTTTGACGGTATTTGATAAGTAAACAAAAAATGATGGTGCAATTCGTATTTCTTTTAAAAATCGTATGGTTAGGACCTATTTTTTTGAATATGCATATATCGTACAGATATGTATTGTTTTACAATCATGGCGTATGTGTATACATAGCCTTCGCCTTAGATGTATATGACACTGTTTATGTGACATTAAAAAAGTTAAAAATGTTTTCTACAAAAACTGTTATAATATTCAAAAACCTACTCTAAAATACACAAAAATTCGTTAAAATTTAGTAAAAATGCAGTTTCACAGAATACACACATACTATGTCATAAAGTTTGTATTCCTAGTATGAACAGGTGAAATGGCAATAACTTTTTAAATTTTGAGATTTAAAGGTTAGTAAATCTGTAAGTTACCGTACAATGTAACTGTTCTATAAAACCTTTATGATATATGGCGTTTTTTTGGTAGTTTATGACATTTTAACTACACGGTTTAATGGCTTAATTTGTAAAGTCTTTACTATTATATATATTGTACATTAAATATGCTTTTACGTTTTAAATTCTGATGCCTAATTTTAAAACCTTTGTTTTAAAATGTCATCAGATGGTTCAATTGCCTTTGACATTGGTTTTTTGTTTGTCGGACTATTTTCGACTGGTCTCGGTGTGCTAGTAATCGTTCTGGTACTAACACAATCTCCAGAAAGCATGAAGACGTATAAAGTTTTTATTATTAATTTTACTGTAAGTTTTTTTTAAAAAGTTTTAGTTACCGTATTTTACTATTATTTTTAACATTTTTTAAAAGTACTGTCTATTTTTTTAAAACAGAGATAAAGTAGAGTTATGACAAAGTTAAAAGCTTAATGTCTTCCTACTTCATTGCTATAAGACATGTAGCAATGAAGTAGGAAGACATTAAAGAGCCAAGAAACGTCCTTGCAAAACGGTGTCATTCAGCGCCTTTAACTTTATAATTTGAGAAATAATTATTAAATTGTAGTTATAACTTAACAACCAAAAAATAAATAAACTTTTTAGATATTTGACATCTTGTTTTCATTTGTAATGGGAGTCTTAGTCAAGCCCGATCCTATATTCCCATGCCCTGGTGCAAAAGTGTCTGGAGTATTAAAATATCTTGGCGAAGATAGTGCTATTTGGTCGGTAAGGAAAAAAATAAAGTCATTTTGATTTACGGTTAAAAAATATATATTACTAAAAACCATTTACAGCTTTTACATAACTAATATAATATATGACATTATATCACCAAACAAATTTTATCCGTTCGTATTTAACCATATATATAAAGTTTTTTTGTTGTTATTGAAAACAAGTCTATAATTTCGTATTTCCAGGACGTAGCAATAGTGAATTCAGCTGGGTATGCCATCTCAACTCAATGTGTTTGTATCATGTACCGGTTTGCGGTACTACAAGATGATCCTCGATTTCTCGAGCTGATGCTTTCTGGTACTGCATGGTTTATTGGGTACTTTATTTCAGCACTAGTAACATTTTTGACCGTTTGGATGTTTAAAAAGGTTCAGGCTCCTCAAAGTGTAGGTATTGATATCAAAATCAAAAAAAAAATTTTCGAAATTTTGAAATTTTTTTTTAATTTTAAATTTAAATTTTTTATTTTTTAATGTTACTAAATGTCATAACTTACGTTCCAGACAATCCCAACCAAGATATCTGAGATGATAAAGCAATTTCCAGACATGGAGATACCCAAAGTAGAAGGCAATTACTTTATTTACATGGATTACGATAGTGAATATTCAGTATACGCTGGAGCCTTGATTTTTATTGGGTTTATTGCGGCTGAGTTCTTATCAATTACTTCGGTTTATCTTATTCTAAAGCAGTTAGAAGTCAAGAAAGCCAGCTTTAGTCAAGCTACCTATAAACTTCATCGACAACTTACTATCGCTTTAGGAGTTCAGGTAAGAGAAAGTTTGTTTAATGAGTATGTTCTAATGCTGGCAACGGTACTGCTTCTAATCTTGGTCTTGGTTTTGTTACTAGTATTGGTACGCGTCTGTCTTAATTCAAGGTTAATCTTGGAAATGGTGCTGGTACTTATACTGGTACGACTACGAGTTGGCTTTGGTACTCGTCTAATTACTAGTGTAGTCTTGCTTTTCATACTTATAGTGGTACTGGTGATAATTCTTGTTCTGGTCTTAGTTGTGGTTCTGGCCCTAGCCCAGATTTCTAGGCTTAGTCCTATCTTAGGTCCTGTTTTTGGTCCTGGTCCAAGCACAAATACTGATTCTAGTATTGTGTCTGGTTTTGGTTATTATCCTGCTCCTTGTCTTGGTTTTAGTCCTGGTCTTGGTACAAGTCTTGACTTTGCCTTGGCTCTAGCCCTAATCCTGGCCTTAGTGACAGTCTTAGCTCTAGCCTTACCAATTACATTGACTTTGTCCTAAACCAACAAAAATAAAAGAGCATTTTTTAAGTCACTATTTTTAGTTATCCACTCCATTTCTAATCATAATAGCGCCAGTGTCATATGGAATCCTCGCCACTTATTTTGGACATCGTACTTATATTAGTATTGGTCGTTTAACCATGATGTACATTGATCTTTATGGTGCTTCAAACTCTATTATAACACTTTATTTTGTCAAACCGTATCGACTTTACCTTGTTGGACAAGTCAAAAGATGTATATTGTTTATGACTTGTGGAAAATATGGAAAAACCGATGATATTACAGTAGTTATGGTACATGAAGCTACTAAATCTTCTGCTTATAATTGATTTGGTATTTAAATTTTTATTACTGTACTGAATACCGTATAATTATATATATATATATTACCAAACCAGTCAAAACTGCCATTTTAAGCACTAGACTCCCTCTTGTTGGGCTTCTTCCTTTCCTTCCTCGTTCTATGTTCATTGACATTGGTCATGTTCAATGCCATCCTCAACTCCTCCTTGATCTCATTCTTCCCCACCTTCCGCGACCTACAGTAATACTCGACCACAACGGATACAGTACTGAACACCAATCCAGAAAAAAGGATCAAGAACAGTCCGGAGACGTTGTAGAGGTTGAGAGACACTCTCTGTTGCTTAACTGACGACCCCATGCCAGCACAAGTGGCACCTTTACTGCGCCACCACTTCTGCTTCTTCATCTCAATTATGCCACGCTTTTGGTACAGTAATATCTGTTTGGAGATGCGATCTGTCCATTCTGAGCCTAAAATAATAATGAAACAATTTCATAAAACGTATTTTACAAAACATCGTAATATAAAATTTTTAAAGTTCCTGCTCATGTAGGATAGTGGCGAAATGTCAAAAAAGGAATGCGTTTCATTTCTATTGGTTCAGGGTGCCGTGTAGGGTAGTTAGAGTAGGATAGAGACATACGTTTTATCAATCAACATCACTTTTTATGTCCAATTACAACAAAGTGTTTTTGTCGCCTAATAAACGTACAGCAAGGTAAGGTCTTATAAAAATGGGGAAAAGTCAGTAAGGGCAGCTAGGGTAGGAAGCTAGGGCTAAGGTTAAGTTACGGTTAGGGTTAAGGCCAGAGCAAGTGGGCTAAGGTAAGGTAAAACAAAAGAAAAGTAAGGCAATAGAGTAAGGCAGGGTAAAATAAGTAAAGTTAGAGCTAGCACTTGAGCTAGGGCTACGTATAATAGGTATTGTAAAGAAAATTACTGTAGGATAGAGTCGGGTAGGGTAGAACTATAAAGTAGAACCAACCTTTTTGCAAAGCAATTCCGTAGCCTTTGGAGCCCAAAACACCTCCAATTTGAGTCAAATTACAATTTTGTTGTACTTCATACTCGAGTGATGTACTCTCCATCAAATACGCATAGTTATGGTTCATCACCTTCTGTACTCCTTCCCTATTTGATCGTACAAAAACATCTTTAAGCTGCATAAAACGCCACATTTTCTGATGGGATGGTATTTTTGATTCCTAAATTTTTTTAAATTTTAAATTCTAAAAATTTTTAAAATATTTAATTTTTGGCTATTCTTCAAAAATTATGGCAATATTAACATACATACCTGAAAGAACTGCATAGTAGACCCTCCCCTGATAGTCCCATAAAGAATGTCAGACTGATTGGCCAAGTCATCCAAACTTCTAATAGGTATGTGAGGCTTGGAGACAGTCAAAACAGCTGCCAAATTGGCTGTATATGCAGACACAATGACTAATGTAAACATCCACCATGTTCCTCCCAACATCCTTGTTGATACTGCTCGCGGACCAAAATCACAACCGCCTTTTAACATTGTTGACATTACGTACCACAGAGTGTTCCAAAAACTGAAAATAGGTGTTTTACGTCCAACGTCGCATTTTACCATAATTTTGCTAAACCTCAGCCTACTTTACCCTACCCTACCCTACCCTACGCCATCCTACTCTACCTATTTGTTTTATCCAACCTTAAAGTACTATGTCATCCAGTATCTACCATACCTTAATTTGCTCTACCCCTCTCAAAGCCTACAAAATCCTACTTTAAATTGTTCTGCCTTACAGTACTCTTCTTTACATTGCCCATTATATCTTACTTTACCGTACCTCTATTTTGTCTTCAAAGTACTCTATGGTGTTTACGCTTCCTACCCTTAACGAACCTATGCTACTTTACCCTAGTCCTATAATACCTTAATTTCTACCTCAGCTGTTCCTGGCCTTGCTGTACGGTCCTCTAAAGTATACTAAGTTTCCCTAAACAGTATGAATATTACCCTATCTTGTCTTATACTTGCTGCGAAGCGTAAAACTAAGTACTACCACCTGAGTGAAGGAAAACTAATACAAAAGTTAGCGTACCCTTTAATGTAGTCCTTATTGCAGCTTTTACTTCGGCTTTACCATAGACCTGTAAAGAGGCTAAGTCAAAGCTGTGCCGAGCCCAGCGGGTCGCCTTAAAACTCTACCCTACCCAAGCCTTTGCCATTTTTTTTCTTACTTTAACCGACATTTCTTTTACGTTTACTTCAACCCTTACCCCTACCTACCTATAATTATTCGACAACTGAATAGGCGCATCTTCAGCCGTATAAGTCGCTGCTGGGTGTGGTTGATGTGCAGTACAGCACGAAAAGTTCAAGTTCCATTCGTAAGGTGTGATCTGAGCACAGATGTACATTCCAACTGATAAGCCACATATCGACAAAACTATTGAGACCCAAATCTCTAGTGATAAGGGATTTAAAAATGAAAATAAGTCTGGTTGATGATCAGCTGGAATCTTGAATAATATTGATATGCCAAGTGATAAGAAGGGTTTTGTAAAATCGACCACTTCTGCTCGACGGAAGTTGGCTGTGAACGGGGCTACTACCATGTCAGCTTCCTGAAGGTAAGCTTAATGTAGTTTTTTTTTTTCAAAATTTTAAAAATTTTAAAAAATTTTTTAATTTTATAAAAATTCAAATTTAAAAAAATAAAAAAAGTTTAAATTTCAAAATTTTTTTAAAATTTTATTTAAACTCACCCCTCTCAAGATCTCCCCGATCATACCATCCCAACTTCCATTGCCAAATATATCATTACCATACTTGTTATCTCTCACAACATGTATTGTATAAGTAAAGCCGAGGTCATTGGAAAGCTCATGAAGAAGATCAATACAAAACCCTTCGAACTGAGCGTTTTGATCCAATTCAAAGTGGTTTTTCTTCAACATAACATAAGGTCTTTCCTGAAAAACATGTTTTTACTAAATTATTAGGGTCTTTGCTGTGTTGTAGTAGGTAGATCATTATGTTTTGATGCGGAATAAAGCTGTAAATTACCAAAAACTGCAAAAAAATTTGCAAAAAATAGTAAAAATCAGTCTTTTTTGCCATTTTTAAAATTATGTAATAGCCAAATTCCCCTTACCATGATCGTAGTAACCCTAAAATGAGGCTTCAGTTCATCCGACACCTTCACATTATGTTGAATTTGTGCCTTCGAATCATGTGACATGTTAACATGAACATCAGTTTGAGCTTCCCAATACCCAATGTCATCGATTCGACCGGTAAATCCAAGTAAATTGATTCGAAACGAAAAACTAGAAGCTCCGAAAGCTCGACCAACTCGACTCAAATCTCCACTCAAGCCTAGTACTGTGTTGTTCTTGACAGTATCAATCAAGATACGACCATAACGGTAAGGTATAAAGCCTCGGGTCATTGATCTGCATCTGATTGAATGGATTTCCGTTTTTAGAGGGTAGATTTCTGTCATTTTTTGAAGAGAATTGGCGACTAGGACAACTGAGTCAAAGGCTAGAATGGCTTCGGACTGAAAAATTTTAAAGTTGTGACGAAGTTTTTTAATGCTTAGCAATTGTAAGGTAAGGTAGAACAGAGTAAGGTTAGCTGCATGAAGTTGAGCAAGGTAACGTAGGATAAGATAAGACCTTATTATAGCAAAGAGAAGCAAAGGGTAAGGTGAGACAAGAGTAAAGCAAGAAAAAGATACGGTAAAGCAAAAGCAGAGTAAAGCAAGGGTAATGTAAAGCAAGAGTAAGATAGAGCTGAGTAAAACATGAGTAAAGTAAAGAAAAAGTAAGGTAAAGCAAGGCTAGGATAAATAAAAATTAGAGTAAATCAAGGTTAAAGTAGGGAAAGGTAGAGTAAGGCTAGAGCGATTGCTAGGGCTAAAGCAACTAAGACTATGGAGACTATGGTAATAATTGGGACAAGAGAAAGTTACAATATACTCACCATTTTCAGAGCCTGGGTGTCTCCATTTTCGAATGTCCAATTCGACGCAATTTGATGCTTAAACTCTTCAAAATTGAATCGATTTTCCTTTTTCAAAAACTCAGGTGATACCAACTCGAGAGAGATGAATCGTGCATGGTTATGTCTGAACAATGACATGTCCATCGTTCGCAGATCCATTGATGTTAACAAAAACCAGTGTTTCAGCTCTATGAATCCCATTTGTAAGGCCTGGATGTTAAAAGTTTCAGGTTTTTGAAATTATATTATAGCTAATACAACTTAAAATTAAAAGTGAACATTTGAAAATGTCATCAAAAAACTATTATACCTTTAGAAAAACTATACTTTCAAACCTTTTTAAGCATAATAACAAACTTACAGCTAATAAAAAGTCATAAGTGTCCTTTGGGTTCATGTCCACTAATATCCGGCTGAATTGTTGACAATCGCCTTGTTGAATATCCGTACAATCTTCCAGTTGTTTGATCTAAAACTTCCTCAATTTTTATGATCCAAACTTTATATATATAAAAACAAGGCCATTTTGTTGTAGTAGGTCAATAAAAAGGCCGAGCCAATTTTTTTTAAACTTTTTTTTGCTTTGAGCAGTAGAGGAAACTCTTTCGTTGCGGGACCTAAACTGTCTTTACAGCTTTGGTTTGGGCCCCGGTCTTTCAAGAAATTTTTTTTATATCAAACCGGGTCTAGTAGGCTGTTTTTCAGGTCTGGTTAGTAAAGTTTCCACTACAACCCGAAATTAGAAAAAACTTAACTTATTAGTCCTGATAAATTTCAAAAGTAAAACAATATTTTACTCCCCTTCTCCCAAACCTAAATTGCTCGACTAGTACTATTAAACCTAATAATATTAGATCTAAAAGTATAAAACCTTGTTTTTCTTTTTTGACTATTAAAATCTTCAGTATCAATTACACGACCGCACATACCTGTTTAGTAGCTGCCAGATAGTTTCCATGTTCAACTTGCACAAATTGAAATCTGATATTTGAGTATAGCTCACGTTCCAGAAATGGAATTAGCCTTATCACTCCTAAAATAGAACAAAAGTATATCAAAAAGCCAAAGGTCATACTAAACAAACTGTAAAAACATAAAATTATCTAAAAACAATAAATATCTAAAATAAAACATATTCCTGAAAAACCTTACGTTCAACTTCAGAATAAACAACAATAACTCTATTCCATCGCCAATGCTGTATCATATCACTGATGGCATCGTTTAGCTGTACTCGCGGGAACATTTCGATTTTTGACGAGAATTTATTTCGATTTTCATTCAGCGGATCCAGTGGATGTGGGACAGAAAAGTCGTCTACTACTGTGAACAACGGGAGGTCTAGCTAAAAGCAAAAGTAAAATTAAATTAAATTAAATTCTATAAATTATACGTTTATAAAAAATAAAATCAGCTTTTTACAACGCATCGTATTTTACACATTTTTTGTTTTTTCTTATTGTCAACAGACCTAAGAGTTAGTCCACTAAGCTAGGCCGCGGGCCCGGGTTAGCCGGGATGAAATACTTGAAAAAAACCAAGCCACCACAAATAGACCCGACAACCAGGAATCCACTTAATTCTAAACGTGATGAACGAGCCGGGCCAGCCTTGACCCAAGTTTAGGTCGTCTAAAAATTAAGACCCAGCCTCCAAAAGTCCGGCTTGTTGCCCATGTCTACCAAAGACTCAGGGGGCCCAGCTGAAGTCTTGCAACGAAAGATTTGACTTGATCCAGCCGGTCCAAACCGGTCTAGATAAAAAAAATAGAATTGCACCGAAAAAGTCTTGATCTAATCCAGTTCAAACAAAAAAATTTAGGTCTCGCAATGAAAGATTTGATCCGGTCCAAACGGTCTTGACCGGTCCAAATAAAAAAAATTAGAATCGGTCCTGTTACATGTCTAACTCTTATTAATAAAGATAAGTCCAAACCTACCGAATTGGCCAATTGTGTAAGCTGTGCACTTAAAGTGTTTTCTGCCGGTGCAAACAATCCAAATATTTTTTCTTTTTCAAGAAGTTTGCATGCTAAAACAACTCCAAATTATAGCACAAAGATTCTACACAAACATTATTTATTTTTTGCAGCTTTCGACACTTAAAAATTTGCATAAACATTACAAAAACTGTATAAAAAATAAGAAAACAAAAATCAAAAAATTTGAAACGTACTACTCTGTACTGCACCATAATGATCACCAGGTTGAATGCTTTGAACTTTCAACCCAAATTTGCCAGCTGATTTTAAATTAGCATTTAGCCAGCCAACTGCAAAGTTTAAGGCTCCTCTTATGTGGGCATCTTCCTTTTGTCGCAGAATTGCACCTAAAATGACATTTTTATGCCGTTGTTTTACTCTTTGCCTAAAAAAATGATAAAACAAGTAGCCACTGAACTAAAATTAACAGTTTTTTTAAAAATTTTATCACAATAACCTACCACGAAACAAAATCATTCCAAAACCTACCAAAAGTAAAAGTAAATCCATCGACCGGTCGAATTATTAAAAAACAAATCACTAACTTGTAGATTATCATTTTATAGAGTTTGTCGGCCAAAGGGCACAAATCCACTTGAAAGATTCGGCCGCTCTTCGAACCATTTAAGAAGGAAATTTCATTTAAGCGGCCGTTGACAGCCTTTCTTGCATAACTCCACGACCTCCCGCGGGAGTTGGTTTAAATTTTTGAAAAACAGTTTTTTTTAAAGTTGATGCTAATTGTTATTGTAATGTAATAGGTTTTTGACTTATTAGAAGTACAGTTTTAGTATTGCGTTTTTTACTAAATTTTTAAAAAATTTTAAATTTGAATAATTTGGTTTTAGAGATCAATAAGCTGACTAGCATCTGCTGAAAGCAAAGAAGAAAGTCAAACAAAATAAAAACGACCGTTGCACCAGTTCTTGGACAACAAAGAAGTTAGAACAGACTTGAAAAGAAGCATACTAGGCCCTGTTCCGGCCACAAGCTAGCGAACTCTTTTTTGACCCTTCTTTTTTTGCCTTGACAAACGAAGCGTCTCACCTCATTCTGGCGATTTGAGCCTAGTCTCAATAAGGTAGGACACTTCTCTTGTAAGCAAAAGTTATTGATCTAGGCAATAAAATAAAACGTCATGTCTAAAATGCAAAAATATTAATGCGTCTGACGGGAATCGAACCCGTGTCGATTGCTTGGAAGGCAACCATGCTGACCATTACACCGCAGACGCTCATGATGATATTCTTTTCTCTAGGATAGATATTATAGTTCGATGATAAACCGGTTTACTCTCAAAAATTGCTTTTTCAGATACTTTATTTTGCTGCGATCTTTTCTTTTTGTTGGTTTTTCAGTCTTTATTAGTCAAAATTACTATATAACATTAGCTAACATCTGACGTACTAAAAAAGTTTTAAAGGTATTTGCTAGTACGTACAATATTTACATTACTAATACAAAATTAAGATGTTACAGTATTATCTCAACTTAAGTTTAAAACTTCGATGCAATTATAGAATTTATTGCTATTTATTGACATGATTCACAACAAGATTTCAAGTTTGAGCTTCCTCGTTTTCTTTGGGACTTCAAGCATGACATAACACTATCGAAACAGTCGGGTGACGAAAAGTGAGACACTGGAAGATTCTGAAAATATTATTATGCAAGTCGTTCTCTGTATTCAATTCTTTCTACAAGTTCAAATTTGGCTACTTTTTATATCCTACCCTACTTAACCTCAGTCCCTCCTCCCCCCTCTCCTTCCCTTCTAACTAGCCCTGAGCCGGAAAACGTGAGTCCGAAAATCGAGATCATATCCTATGAGCCAGACTAAAAACTGAGTATGGCCAAGGTCTTTTACAAGTTTAGTTGTATGCCATTTAATTTTTTTTTCTATTGAAGACTTACCATCTGTTTAGCAAAGTTAATACGAGCATCAACAACCGCTTCTCTGAAAGCAGGTTTGCTGTCTACTTGATCATTTGTTTTTTGAAGCAAATCCTCACAAAATTGTCTTGGATTTTGGCCAAAGGTTTGTAACAGCAGTAGTGAAAACAGTATAATTAATTTGCCAAACATTATTATAAAACTTTTACTGAAGATGAAGTGGGAACTTATAAACTTAACTTTAAACTGTTCAAAATGGGCTTCCTTCTGTTCTCGTTTATTACATTGTAATAACAAAAACAAGTAAGGAAACCCTGTTTTAAAACATCAACAAACATAAAACTATATGAAAATGCATTTTTATACCTAAAATGTCTAATTTAGTACTATTAAGTTTGTCCAAGTAATACTGTGCTCTCTTTCAAAGCAAATTCTTTGAATTAAGTAGCTCACAATTACCTGAACAATTTAATAAATTAAAAAGTTGGCAAAGTCAGTTGATAAAATCTTGTTACTTCTCAACAATATAAGCAATGTTACCTTAGTAAATAATAATTTATTAAACTAAGCAACAATAAAATAAAACAAGGTATTATAATACGTAGAAAATGCCTATATGATCTTCTTGATATGTTGTAAACCACAAGTGAGACTAGCAATAAGATGCCACAACAAATTTTACAAGCTGACTGTACTCTTAATATACTCGTTTTCCCAAAGTTATAGCTTCGCCAATGTTCCATGGTAATAGACTGAAAGTAAAAAGTATTATAATGAGTGATAAATCAATGCGCCTTCAACACTTTAGTAACAATTAAAACAAGTTTTTAAACTGTTTATAATAGACCTGTAAAAAGCCGGGTCAACCCCACTTCTTTGCCCAATCCGTCCCCATTAGAAGTTGCTTTGGTTTAGCCCGCTTATTTTTAAAAAAATACTTTTTTTGCTTACAACTATTAAGAAAACGTGCCGGGAAGAGGCTTTTTTAACCCAAATTTAAGACAAGCCAATCCTGAACATCAAGGCCTGGCCCGTTCCCCATTTCTACTTCGCTTTTGGGCCAAGCCGGACCCATTTTTTAGCTCTGAACCAGAAATTGTCTGCTCGGCACTCAAACTCACAATTGCCAGCTTGGCTTCTTACAAAGTTTCTCCGGCTCAGTCAGACCCGACCCTTCTCAATCCCTTGCCAGGCCTAGTTGACCCTCTTTCAAGCTTAGCTTATAAACTTACGATCTGAATGAATAGAATATAGCCATCTGGTTCGGCACTATACAAACGCGTTGTTCTAGTCGAATAGCTTCCACAACTTTTTTTGCAACATAACCAGACTTTAGTAAGTCGAATCGTTTGTCGGTAATGCTAAAAAGTTATTTTTAGTACTATAATTTTAACCTGTGTATCCACATATAAAAGTTCTGGTTCAGGCTTTGTATTTTTTAAACTTTAAAAATGTAGTTTCGGTTTTAGCTTCAGCTCCGTAGCCTGAGGTCTCTGCTTCGGGAATTTTTGTTAATAAACTTTCGATTTTTTTGCTCCGACTCAAACTCTGGCTTCGTCTTTTTAAAAAATACAAAAAATCTATCTCTGTCTGTAACTCCAGAACCAAAGCTGCTCCAGAGCCAAAACCGGAGCTAATACCTCAAAGTCAAAGCTATAACTAGTTCCAAAGCCCTCAGAAACTCTAATTAAAAGTTCAAATAAACTTAAAACCTACGACAAATCGTCAATCATAGGTGTGGTAACATAATATGGACAAATGGTAGTAAAAGGTATCCTTGGTGCTTTCATAAGTTCCAATTGTAAATGTAAGCTTTCCATGAAACCAAAGGCCGCGAACTTGGATGCTGAATAGTCAACTAGTAATGGTGCACCCAGAATGCCAGCTATCGATGATAAGGTAACTATGTGGCCACTGCCACGTTCTATCATCTTTGGCAGGAATGCTTTTGTTACCTAAAACATATTGAGTAATTACTTTCTAACTTGTTTTTCAAATAATTCTGTGCTCCCTAACATTAAAAAATGTTTTCAGAGGGAGCACAGAATTATTTTAACAACCTCTTAACTATAATGACTATAAGGTTGTTTTAATAATTCTGTGCCACTAAGTTCGAAAAATTGCTTTAGAAGGAAGCACAGAATTATTTACACAACTTCATGACCATAGTGTCTATTAAATTGTTCAAATAATTCTGTGCTTCCTATTTAACTCCAAAAAATTTCTTTGAAAGGGACACAGAATTATTTGAACAACCTCATAACTATAAGAAAGTAACTATTTGGCTTTTTCAAATAATTCTGTGCCCTCTGACCCAAAAAATTTTTTAAAAAGAGCACAAAATTATTTGAACAACATGACATTACACCAATTAAAGCTTATATTATACCAAGCAAACCTTCAAAACTCACCCAAAACAAGGCTTTTGTGTTAACATCGATCAACTTTGACATCTTGTCATCATCACACTCCAAAAATGGCACCGGATTCAGTAGACCCGCATTATTAATCAATATATCAGGCTCTCCAAAGTCATGCCGAAGCAGGTCAGCAGCACGGTAAACCGCCTTCTTGTCGGTCACATCTATGTTCTGACAATACACTTTAGCACCAAGCTTTTGGCAGATCTGAGCTGTTTGATCATTCAAAACTGGATTAAAATCCCACAAAAACTAGTCTGGCGTTGTGCTTTGCTAATTGAGCCGCAATTTCTCGACCAATACCTCCACCGGCTCCGGTTAGTAGAATTATCTGGAAAAATTAAGTCTTGTATAATACAAAGCTTATTACCTTCTCCCCTTTCCTTACTGTCAATATCTATAACAAACCTACCTTTCCATTTAGATTTTTCTTCGGCAGAAGCGAATTGGGAATGATAAACTTGGCAATACCTCTAAGGAAACTGTAAATTACAAAAAATACCCATCTGACCGTTTCCGACACAAATCGAACAATATACAACAAGGGGTTGGAGTAGTCTGTCATGACATGAAACTCTGAAGATGATCGATTAAAACAGCATAAATTAAAAAAAAGTGATTTCAAACTTACGGGGTGCGACAAAAGTCTTTGGACTAACTTTACCGGTCGATTTCTTTATGTTGTACGCGATTTATATAATTTTTTTTTATATTGGATGCAAGGGTGTGTTGTAGAAGACACCAAACTTTGGAGTCTTTGAAATAAGCATTGATCGAAGAGTGGGACAAACTTTTGCCTCAGGACCTGCGGCCCATCGCTGAAAACTTTGTGAAGCGTTTACGCCTCTGCGTAGCGGCAAAAGAAGGCCAATTCGAAACCGCTTGACTATGTTATAACTAGTGCTATATGTTACTATTGTTAGTTGTTGTTTTAAGTATATTTATTGTTTTAATAAATATATGACCAAAATAATGAGTCCAAGGACTTTTGTCGCACCCTGTATATATTATTTTGTTCAAATAATTCTGTGCCCACTTTTCATTTTTTTTTATTTTTTATGGCTCAGGGCCGCAGAATTACTTAAACAAATCTAACGTATAAAAAATTGTTCAATTAATACTGTGCCCCTTCTAAAGAAAATTTTGGAAGCAAAGGCTTAGAATTATTTGAAGAACCTAGTAACATAAAAACCATGCCTTGTAAACTTAAAACTATTCCCTTTTAACATAAAACCCATGCCCTCTAAACGTAAATCAAGCCCTTTTTGCAAGTTTTTGAAGCAAAACCATTAAGTTATGAAGCTAACCCCCCCTCCTCCCAAAAAAAATTTGTGAAATTCTTTCCAGAAAGTGAGAGTAAACCTTTTACAATCTGATTCGTCTGGCGCAAATTACTTATTTTCTGCAAAAGTTTATTATTTGTATTCGAAAACAACTAAAAAAGAGCAAAACTTTGATCCGAACTTGAATAGACGTGAGGATTGTTGATGTGAGAGAGATAAAGAACTGGATTACGTAAAAAAGTTTTTTTAATTTAAAAATAGTTTTGAATTTGGGCTTAATTATACTTGTAAAGAGCCGGGTGCAATTTTTTAGGCCTTAGTTTGAGACCTCGAAGGCCGAGCCTAAACGTTGAGCCTTAGGTTTGGGTCGGGCCTAAAAGTTGGCTTAGACAGGTATCAAAAGTGAGACTGGGCCGAGTCTCAACAGTTTCTCATCCTTAGAGTCAAAAGCCCGAAAGTGTCAAGTTTTAGTACTAAACCCTAAGGAGTGGCTCCAGCTTCAAGGCAAAAACCCAAACTAAAATTTAAAAAAAGGCAAAGCGGAAGCTAGAGCCAGAGCCAAACCCAGAAATATTAAATTTAGAAACTTTGTTAAAGTCATCTATTAAAATAAACTAACATACCTTTTTTTGATTTTGTACTTGGACTCATTGTTGATAAATTTCAAAGATTTTTGGTCTCTCACATGAATACCTGAAAGTGACAAGCATATTATAACATTACGTTGACTTTATACCGGAAAACGACGGAGAGCTTTGTAAAAACATCATACTGATAACAAATCGTTTAACACGACTAAAGAAATATTTAAAGAAATCTCAATTTTAAGTACAGCAAAACCTTCGTATAGAAAACTCTTCCATTAAAACCCTCTATATAACAAAAAACTTTTTTCTTAATTTTTCAAAAATTTGCTTGAAAGAAAGCCCAGAATTATATAAACAACTTAATAGACCCTTCGAAGTTCTTTATAAAGAGTTTTCACTGTACTGTTCAATTGATTATAAAAAAGAACGCAAAGTCAAGAAGTGAGAACATTATCTTCTGATCTGTTACTAATGCTTTCATTTTGATAATAATAACAATAAGCCGCAAATCACAAAGTTTAAATTGATAATAACGTAATCATGTCTTTCAGAGAAAACAAAGATAAAAGATATTAACATTATTTTCACTTCTTTCTAATATTTTTTCGAAAAAATTTCAATTTAATAAATGAATACCTACTCTATCCTACTTTACCCTATTCTACCCTACCCTCAATTACTTCAAGTAAAACATTTAATCCTGGTACACAAATTGTTTCACATTTTGTATACCTTTTAGATGCCTAATAGAAACACAAAGCATAAATTAAAAAGAGATTCGTTAGCGGTCGTTACCGCACTTCAAGGTCAATTCCAAACTTGAGAGCACTTGCAAGACTTATGGCTTCTTATAAGCGTATATTTTACAAAACTGGCGGTTTTTGTAAGTTAAAATTAATTTTTTAGAATAATCATGGCTTGACCTAAAAAAGAAAAAAAGCAAATTTGAAAAAGCCCGGGCTGGAACAGGTGGACCCCAGAGCCGGGTCCAAATCAAATCTCCAGAAGGCCTACGTTTGAAGGCCCGGCCTCTTTCAAATACGCCTTGCCTTGCTGTTAGACTTGAAAGGGGGCCCACTAGTCCCGGCCCCGGCCGAAGAAAATTTGAAAAAAGCCCGGTTGAAAAATTGTGCTCGACCCCTTTACAGGCCTTGTTATAGCACGTCTAAAAATCCTTAGAAAAATAAAAAACCAAAAAAAATATAAAATATAGTTAAACCACATTTAATGACATATTATCCTCAAAATCCCAACAAAACACCGCCTGAATGTCTGCGATATTGTTTATTTTAGCAAAACACAAACAGCCCCTTCTCCAGCTTTAAAAGGGCATTCAAATGTAAAAGTCACGTGTTTTGTTTCCAACGGAAGCGCCGTTTTGAAATTCAAGGAATTTTAAAATCGGACATAACATGTTGTTTACATGCTATATTTGCATACATGGTAACGCGATTTACTTGTAATAAACATTTGGCAAGAAAAACTCTTCATCACAATATAAAATAAAACACTTTACATTATAGGCTTTTAAAAATATTAGAGTTACAAAATTTTGAGGTTTTTAAGCTTCCCTTCTTATATATTATGGTTACGCTATCCAAATTTAAAGTTTCTGGCTCCAGCTTCATCTTTTTTTTTATTTTAAGTTTAGTTCGAGCTCTAGCTCCAGCTCCGAAGCCTTTTAACTCTGACTCCAGCTATTTGGAGCTGTGTCGAACTTGGAAGCGTTTAGTAATAAAATTCAACATTTTCTGACTCTGGCTTCAGCTTCAACTTTATCCTTTTTTATAAAGTTTAGTTCTGACTCTAGCTCCAGCTCCAAAGTCAGAGCCATCCCGACTCCGAGTTGCTTAGTACTAAAATACAACGTCTTCTGACTTCGGCTTCAGCTCCGGCTAAGTTTTTTAAAATAAATTCTACTTTAGTTTTGGCTCCGGCTCCACAGTTTTTAGGAACTCTGGTTATGAAACATCAAAATGTCATATTACTCACAACAGCTGGATTACTGTGAATCATTCAAACTTTTAGAGTAATTTAAAACTGTATTTTAATTTTAAACAGTAATTTTAGACATAATTTCTCAATAAATTCTTAAACAAAACTATGTTATGATATTACAGTATCAATTGTCCTTTATGAACGACACCAACTCAGCCCTAAGGTTAACATTAATATCATCAAAATGTCTTTAATCAAAAATTTTAAAAAATTAAATCATAAAATATAATTAATTGCAATGATTTTCATATAAAAATCAAAAAACATCTTTCAAAAAAATTCTTTGAAGTTTTCGGAAAAAAGTGCAGTGAAGAGGAAGATCAAGCGAGCGCCGCTGACCTTTTTCTATTTTCCGTTTTTGCTTGGAAAAGGAAAAGAAGAGGGAGCCGCCGCACGGACCTGTGGCCTAATGGATAAGGCGTCGGTCTCCTAAACCGAAGATTGTGGGTTCGAGTCCCATCAGGTCCTACGCCTTTTTGTTGATTTTTCTTATTTTTATAGTAAAATTGCATAGTTTTGGTCTTATTTTTAATACAATAGATACACATTATAATAGATACTATGATCAACAGCTGTTTTTAAATATTGTCACTACTGGAATTTCAAATCTTAAAATTTTGGTTTTGGTTCCGGCTATGGCTCCGGCTAAGGCTCCGGCTCTCCTTTTTTTAATTTTTGCTTTGGTCTTGGCTTTGGGGATCTCTAGTACTAAAATTTCATGTAAGGTTTTGTTTGGCTCTGGCACTAGCTCCAGCTACGGAAGATGCAGTAGAGTCAGAGCCGACTCCAGAGCCTTTGGGAACTCAGGTTAATACAATATTAACAACCTTATATATACGTAAAAACTATAAGACGCTACAATCATGTTTAATTTAACATATTGCAAACTTACAGACCAGAAGACAACGTGTTATCTGTAGCTTTAATCTAAATGAATTTTTGTTTGGCCGCTGACGTTTGACGTTTCAGTCCATTATTATGCTTCTCAACTGCTGTCACGGCCATTAGGGAATTATTTCAACGTCGGATAAATGTTGATAATTTGGCATACGTTTTATAAGAAATTGTTTTATCTTCAGTTTTAAATTGTCCTTGCGGACTTCGGTTGTAGTTTTAATGTTAAATCTTTTTTTTTGCTTTTTTCAAACCTTTTAAGTCTATTCTGAGTTTAGAAGAAAGCTCATTAGGCCTGGAATAGTCTTGGCTTGGCTTGGCTTGGTTTGGCTTGGCTTGGCTGAACTAGTCTGGGATGAGCTAGATAAAGCTAGACAAAGCCAGGTCAGGTCAAAGGAAGTTTAAAAGGAGCAAGCCGAGCAGGTACACGTAAGCTTGAGAGCTTGGACCCGGCCCCTTTAAAAGTCTAGTCTTTCTTTTCTGTACCAACTATCAAACTGCCTTTTTTGCTGAACTAAGCCTACCACAGTAGCAAAACTAAAAACCTTGCCCATCCTCCTAACTCCTCTTTATCGTACTTTTAACTCATCAAAAAGTTTTTCTGTGGGGCCTTAAAATTAGCTTGCTCATCCGTTCAAATTTCAGTAAATTTGGGTACTAAGTGCGAGGCCTTCGGGCTGCGCGAGTACATTTTTCACTGGAAAAAACAGGCGAAATTTTATAAGCCCTGCGGGCATAAACGCAGGAAAAAACCTTGTGTAAAAAGGAAAAAATATCCATTACTTTGCCAGGAATCCCATTGTTTTTATTGTCTTTCTCCACATTTTTTGGAAGAATTCAGGGCTGGAGTTACTATGAAGTGTGGTAGAAATGTTGGGTAGGTAGTGGTAGGAGTGGTAAGGGTGATGTTTTGGGCAGGGGTAAGAAAGAGGCGGTGTTTTTAGAGAAAGAATGAGGCTAAGAAGTAATGTTTTGTACATGGGTTGGGGGAGAGGTGACGTTTTGGATTGGAGTTGTGGGGGACAATTTTTTAGGCAGGAGTTGACTGGCGGTGGTACTTTTGGGAAGGGTGGAGAAGGAGAGATGTCTTGGATATCTTTTCTAATTTACTTTTTTTATACTTACCAAATTTTTAAATTTCCGATTTTACTAAAACATTTTGACTATGCTACATTCAAAACACCTGATTACTATCCGCTTTCCCATGTAAAACACGATACCGTAGGGCTATTATTAAAGCGTTGACAAGCCCTCAGGCGGTTCTGGGGGTGAAAGTTTTGAGCCGTGGGAATGCGAAAATCGGCGGAAACAATTCCCATGAGAGAAAATTGTCATAGCCATGTTATACATGGGTATCTTTATGCATCATTAGTCCCCTCACTCATATATCATTATGGCATAACTTATACATATACATAGGTTATGCCAGTTAATATAAGTATGCCAGTTAGTATAAGTATGTTGGTTAATATACGTTATGTCGGTTAATATAGGTTATGTCGTTTAATGGTCTCGCTTTCTTGGGAATAATATAGAGTTAGGTGCGAGGTGTTGAAAGTGGCATTTTAAGCATTTTTAGTATGGTTTTATAGGTTTGAGCTATTTTGATACATATGTCATCTTAGCTCTGTTTTACTAGGGAATTGCACGAAACATCCCTCGGCTTTTAAAACGATACCTATATAAGATGAAAGAAACATTAGAAAGTTATCAAGAAAACTATTTTCAAAAAATGGTCTCGGCTAGCGAGATATTAGCGGTCAAAGAATTTACACGTAGTGTCCTATTTGACTCTTCTCGTTAGCCTGGAGCAAAACGGACAAATTGAAGCAGTATTTTCTTTAAAGTTAGCTTAAAAGATTGGTTTGGGGAAAAAATTTTTGGACCGAGCCCCGTAAGTAACAGGACCAAACCTGAAGAAAAGTTGTCCGGACGGTCTAGACAAAACATTGAACTTAAGACGGCATTTATTTTGTTAGTTCTATCATGATATATTAGCTGTACCTTAGCCCTAGACATAAGGAACGTTCCGGGTCGGACTAGATCTGAACAAAATTAGGTCGGGCTAAGCCTGAAATCAAGGCCCGGCCCGTTTTCGCGAAAAAAAAATTCGGGCTGGGCCAGGCCTGAGCAAAATTTTGATCGGGCCAGGCCTGAAAATTAGGACCGGGT